AATTCTTCATTTTTCAACTATCAAAGCTTCACTTGTTTTGAAAAAAAATTACAGGTCACATTTTTACAAGCTGTTTATATAATGTATTCTTTCGTATTTTTTTAAATGTACCATTCAAAAAGAATATATGTGACATTTTAGAAAATGTTCATACCTTTCAAAAATATGTTCATGATATTTTTATAAAAATGTATATACAATGAAAATTAAATGCTTGTATAATTTAGAATAATATTTGTTGCCATCAAGAAAATGTTCAAAGTGTATTTTGAAAATTTTAACATGTATTCACAAAACAATTCAGAGATGTATTCCAAACAATGTTCGTCATGTATATGAAAAAGGGTCAACATGTATCTGAAAAATGTTCCACATTTATACGAAATTTTTAAAACTTGTATTCAAATGTAAACGTATTTTTTAAATAAAAAAGTAAAAGTAAAATATAAAATATAAAAAAACATAGAAAAACTGAAAAAGAAAGAATGCGCATGGAAGGTTCTAAAACTGATCCAATGTGTGGTCTACTGAATCTTCCCAAAACCGGTTTATGGGCCTGCTCGCACCCAAGCCGAGAGGGGAGGCCAAGCTACGTCTTGCAATAAGTGAGATATAGATTTGGCGATGTCTAATCGATCAACAAATACCCAATAATAATAATAATAATAATAATAATAATAATAATAATAATAATAATAATAATAATAATAATAATAATAATAATAATAATGATAATGATAATGATAATAATAATAATAATAATAATAATAATAATGATAATGATATCTTTAGTTGATTGGATTTCACTTGCTGCCTATGGTTCCCTTGCGTGTGCTCGGAAGAGGTGTTTTGTATAAATGTTTCGTCGTGTTATTAAGGGCCAGTTCTTTTCGCCCAGGATTCTACAGAATCAAGATTCTAGAAAATTCTCCTAGAATCTGCTTCTCCTAGAATCTGGGGTCGGGTTCTTTTCTGACATTGTAGTTTGAGATTCTGGAAAGAGTTGTGTGTTGAAATGTCTGTACTACTCTTGAAGAAATTGTTTGATGAATTGTTAACACTTCGTTTTTTCTAACAGTATCTACTAGTCAAATGTAACAACATCTTCATACAGTAGCAAAGATCACAACACCAATATCTACCAATAGAACCAATATACACAGTAGCATCGACAATATGAACAAAAAAATTCTGGCATCATTCATCCATCTAACAAATTAAAAAATCAATCCATTCATCCATCTATCCAACGGACACACCGATTCATCCATCTATGCAACAAAGTATTTGCATCTATCCAATTTATATAGCTAAAAAAGAAGAACAAAGAGTTGGGACAGAGAGGATGGCTCACCGTGGAGGAGGATGAATGGTGGGCACTTCGGTTGCGGCTTCGGGATGGAGGCGCCGTGGGCACCCGGTGCAGAGGGGCGCGGCGGCGGCTTCCTGTTGTCCCCGCTACGGCAGAGGGCAGAGGGCCACGGAGGACGGCTGGGCTGCGGCGGGAGTGGGTACCGGCGGCGGCGAGGACCAATCCAGCGGCGGCGAGTACCGGGACGGCGGCAGCGAGGTCAGGGGCGGCGAGGCGGGGCCGGTGGCGGTGCTGGAACCCTAGCGCGCGGCCCTGCTCGAGGTAAGCGGGGAGGAAAGCGATGCGAACAGGCATCGACAGAGGCTCGTTCTCTTTGTATCGATCGTGGCTGGCTCGGTGGCAGTTTGGCCGTAATAACCAGCTGCAAAAGGGGTACTCTATTAAGTCCAAACGTTTTCTTTGGTGGGACTTGCCAGAATCCTGAGATTGTGGGAGAAGCCAGGTATTTTGGGATTTTGGGATTGCACTAGGATTCTAGAGAATCCGGTTGAGATTTTGGAAGTTCAATCGAGTTCTTTTCGCTCGGGATTTTCGGAACCAAGATTCTCCATAATCTGCTCAAAAGAACTGGGCCTAAGTATTCTCCTTTAGTTTTTTTCTCTATCTAAAAGTAGAATAGAATGACCCGATTGAAGGGTAATGATCATACATATGTAATGCATTGTACGCCCAAAATAGGTCATATTCTTCTATCTTTTTCAGGTAGTCTATGGTTATTCACAGATACCACCTTAACACCAGAGAAAAGTTTGATCCAATACTTTATTTCTGTCTTACTAAACCCCGATTCCACATTATTTCCAACATAGTATGTCGTCTAAAATGGATTGAAGATGAAAATATATGAGAACAATAAAGAAATCATACAACTGCATAGGAGGGGGCAGATGTATTGCTAGATTTGCGTACACCTAGCTAGTTATCCTCATGGCATGTCCACTTGTGCACCACCTCATCCAACGCGGTCATGGTGGCACCTCCCTCAAGTAGAGCTTCGGTGGCCGCCTTGTGCAGTGCCGCCACCTTAGCTCTTACCTCGGCGCCTTCGCCTTGGCCTGCCATGATTTCCCTCACCACCGCGGCAATCTCCTCCTTTTTCTTGTTCCTCAGCACTCGTATGGCTACTCCAGCCCCCTCGGTCAGCATCACAGCGTTCTGCCCCTGCTCGGCGTAGAGCGGCCACGCGACCATGGGTACGCCGTGCACCAAGCTCTCCAAGACCGAGTTCCACCCGCAGTGCACCAAAAATCCTCCCGTCGCTTCGTGAGCCAGTACCTTCGCCTGCGGCGCCCACGATGGCATGAGGAGGCCGACGTCCTTGGTCCTCTCCACGAACCCCTCCGGGAGGTAGGCCAGGGGGTCCTTCTTGCTCTCGGCGTCGTAGTAGTTGGCGTGCAAGGCTCCCTCGTCGCTTGGGCTCCGCACCACCCACAAGAACCGCTGCCCGCTGAGCTCCAGCCCTAGCGCCAGCTCGTGCATCTGCTCCGTCGGCAGCGACCCACCAGATCCGAAGGAGACGAAGATGACCGACTTGGGAGGCTGCCGGTCGAGCCAATCCAGGCACGCGGCTCGAGGTACGTCGCTGGCGTCCGTTCTTGTGAGCGGACCGATGTTGTGCACCGGAGGACGGCCGGGCTCCGGGTGAGAGAGCACCCTGGCGGCGTCTGGCTCTAAGGCGTCGAAGGAGTTGACCAGGATGGCCTCGGCGTGGCGGTAGAGCTCGCCGTGGTGCACCATCCACCGGTAGCTAGGGTCAGGGATGAAGCTAGAAAAAATGGGCACTGGTGTCATCCGCTGCCCACGCTAAACCTCTAGCAGAAATTATAGTAGTGCAACAACATAGATAATGGCCGAGAGCAATATAAAGAACAACAATATGGAAAGAGCTGGTGATATTATTATTACATAAAAATGTACCGAGTAGCGAGTATTGGCTGAGCGAAGTCATAAAGTAACACTTCTTTACATATTCCGGAAATAATAGGCAAAAATATGACTTTGGAACGTTTCATTTGTAACTTTCTGGAAAGGATGAACAAAAGACCATATTATATTCACAACAATATAAAAAACAAGTAATACAGAAAATAAGTATCATTAAGGAAAAAATAAAGTGATACGGAGACTCACATTTTATAACTTCCCTTCTCGATCTTTCATCTTCTTAAATAGATCAATCACATCATCATTTGTTATTGTAGAAAATATGTCTTTCTCCACATAGCAAGTCAGGCAATCACTCATGAACTCATCACCCATTTTGTTCCGCAAAACACTCTTGGCGATATTCATTGCTGAAAAGCATCTCTCCACTGACGTTGTAGCAACTCGCAAAATTAGCACCAACTTGAGAAGTTGATACATCCAAGGAAAAGCAAGATGCTTTTTAGTTTCCACCAACACTTTAGCAAGATCAGCAATGCCATCCAAATTGGCAAATCTTTGGTCCGCTCGGACATTGTCTATGAAAATCCGAAGTTCATGACCAAGATTCATCTGTGAAAATATTAGCAAGATCAGCTGGATCATGAGGAAGTGCATCTAAATTAATTTCTGCCGGAGGCGGAGGAGTAGTACTAATATTTGATGCAAGATTTTGTCTTGGTCTAACTGGCCTTGACACTAGTAGAAAAAGGGCCATTTATCCCGGTTCATAAGGCCCATCTGTCCCAGTTGGGGAACCGGGACTAAAGGGTCGTTACTAATGCCCTAGGCATTTAGTCCCGGTTCTTATACTAAACGGGACAGATGGGCCTCCACGTGGCCGGTGCGGCGAGCCCAGGCAGGAGGCCCTTTGGTTCCGATTCGTGCCTAGAACCGGGACAAATGGGTCCATACGAACCGGGACCAATACCCACGAGGCCCCGGCCGGCTCCCTGGGCTCAAGAACCGGGACAAATGCATCCATTGGTCCCGGTTCGTGGAAGTACCGGGACTAATGGGCTGGCCAGGCCCGAACGAAAGCCCATTTTTCTACTAGTATGAAGTCCCTGCCACATTACTGTCTGGTGCTGGTTGTTTCCCTTTCAACAAAAAATTTATCCATATCCTCCTGGTCCTTGGCAAATCAAAGAAAAGACACTCAAAACTTACCTAGCCAATAGCCATCATGAGAAGAAATCAAAGCACATGTAAAATTGTAGAAAATCGAGACCGGGAGAGAGAGAGGGTGCGGATTACCTGGGATGGGAAGAGCCAACACTTGAAAATTAAAGATTATGCACTGACGGACGGTCGGCCGACGTCAACATTCACCCGATGAAATGTCGTCGAGTTCGTCGTCGTTCGTCGCCGATTCGCTACAGCGGTGGCAGAATTAGGGATCGAGATGAGGAGGCGAAGAGATGAGGGCGTCCGTCTATTCGCGTATAGGTACAGGCGTACGACAGCCGAGTAGCGTACATCGATTAATTGATACATAAAGACGTGTGTACGCATTGGGCCTGGCCTTCTGTCATTGTTTGCTGCCGCAGGCTGTTGATTTTTTTTATAACTTAATGGATGTTATGGGCTAAGGCTTTAGGGATTGACTGCTCTCCTGATGGGCTGGGGTCAATGGAATTTTTGAGCTGGGGTCAGACGCATTTTTGTTAATACTTATTAGCTCAAAAGCCAGAAGGCACCGGTGTCAATTGACACCAGTGGCTACATGAGAGCTCCGTCCCTGGCTGGGGTTGGATTTGTCCTGGAGAGCCGACATGACTTCCGTCCCCGGGATAGGCACGCAGCCAGGCAGCCTGACGGGCTCAGCGAGGTCCCGGAACTCGCCGGGCATCGTGTCGTCCAGCTCCGGGAGGTGGAGGATGAGCGTGAGCCAATGGAGGTTCCCCGTAAAGAACATGTATCTCCTCGGCACGCCGGCAGCCACGGCAGCATCGAACGAGTCTGTTCCCAAGACGTCAGCCACGTAGGCCACCAGCCGCGTCGTCTCCATGAGCCCCGTCAGAACCCCGATCAGCACCGGCACCAAGCGGACGCACTCCTCAGACATGAAGGTCGCGAGGCTGGCACCATGGGGCAGGTCGGAGAGGTCGACGGGCGGGAGGGACATGGAGGCGATGGTGGGCGGGAGGGAGGCGAGGAAGGCCCGCTGCGTGGCGGACGCCGTGGAGGCGAAGGTGATGAGCGTGGCCGTGACGCCGTGCCGCGCGGCCAGGCGCTTGGCCAACTCCGCCAGCGGGATGAGGTGACCCATCCCGGGCGTCACCAGCATGGCGACGTGCGGAGGGCGGCGAGCCTCAGCCATGCCGCTGGCCTCCATTGTTTCCCGTGGGATTATTTGCCTCGTGATACATACGTGCGTTGCTTTGGGGGTCTATATAAGCGAAAATTGTTTCAGACGACAAGGGAATTAATTGCACAACGTGCAAAATTCAGATCGGACAGCCACGTTATGAGACATTTATTGTCCAGTCGCTGGGCCAATCATTTGGGGTAAGCTCAGATTCCGATTTTACCATTCGACCCCGCACGGGGGTTTATACTATTACCATTAGGGCACCGCTAGGCACCCATGCATCGGTCGAAACTTTCGACCGGTCCAGCCATAGCCGCTCGATGCGAGCTGCATGGCGGTTGGATCTAGAGCAAAAAATATATCATCCCAGCTTCTTCTTCTTCGGCCCCGCGTGGCGCATTTCCGGTGAGATCCCCCGCGGCTCGCAGCACCGCGCAGCTCCAGCAAGGCCCCCGCGGCGCAACTCCAGCGAGGCCTCCCGCGGCTCGCAGAGCCGCACGTCACCGGCCGCAGCATCCGTCGTAGAGCTCGTGTTGTTCCTTGTCCTTAATTTGTCGGTCGCAGCAAAAAATTCCACCGATCGTAGCTAAAATTCTTGACGCTTCCAGCAAAAACCAATAAAACGTTGGTAGCAAAATTGGAAAAAAATCGACGCCGTTCCAACAAACCAAAAACCTGATGGTAGCAAAAATTGAAGCTTGTTCCAGCAAATCGAACGCTAGTGGTAGCAAAAATGAAAAATCGAGCGCTGGTTCTAGAAAAATCAAGAAGCCGATGGTAGCAAAAATTGACACTGGCTGCAGCAAACCACAAAACGGTTGTAGTAAAAACAACTTGTGGTCCAGCTAGGGGCTTCTCAGGTAGTAGCAAAAAATGCACAAGGTTGTAGCAAAAAGTGTAAAAGGTTGTAGCAAAACACATAGTCGCAGGGTCTCGACAACCTCAAAAAGGATGTAACAAACATCAGTGCCGGTAGTAGCAAAAAAAACAAAACTGTTGTAGCAAAAAAGTGGTACAAAATGGTTTCAGCAAAAAGACATGGCAGCAAAATTTGGTTAGTTCCAGCAAAAAACGAAGACCGTGGTAACAAATTAGTACACTGGTTCCAGCAAAAACAAACATGGAAGCAAAATCTGGAGTTGTATCATGCCTCGAGCTCATAAGCCATGGCTTCCCTGGCCTATGAGCTCGCAGGCCATGCCCCCCTGTCGTAGTAGCGCCGGTGCTCGGCCCCGTCGCGTTTGGCCATGGCGATGGCATCCTGTGCAGCAGCAGCAACTCCACGCCGCCGCGCTTCGTGGGGGAGGGCGCCCCGTGCAGCAACTCTACAGCAATGGCGTCCGAGAAAAGTAGATAGGTAGAAGCAGCAGTGTGGGCAGGGCAGGGAAGAAAGGAAGGAGATGTGGTGTGTGGACTGCAGCCGCGTTGGAAAGGATAAGGGAAGCAGAGCGGTGTGCGGGCCCTTGCGGGATGACATGTCCCTCCTGCTTTAGCGCTACGTGCGGGGTGAGCGAGTCGACCGGTCGAAGTTTCGGCCGGCGCCCCGGCTCTAAACGTTTACCTTACCGGGCACCACTAGGCGCCGGCGCACCGGCCGAAACTTTCGGCCGGTCCAGCCATAGCTGCTTGATGCGAGCCGCACGGTGGTTGGATCTGGAGCAAAAAAAAATCGCCCCAGCTTCTTCTTCCTCGGGCCCCCCTGGCGCATCTCCGGCGAGATCCTCCGTGGCTCGCAGCACCGCGCTGCACTAGCAAGGCCCCCGAGGCGCATCTCCAGCGAGGCCCCCCGCGGCTCGCAGAGCCGCACGTCGCCAGCCGCAGCACCCGTCGTAGAGCTCATGTTGTTCCTCGTCCTTAATTTGCCGGTCGCAGCAAAAAATTCCACTGGTCGTAGCAAAAATTCTTGACGGTTCCAACAAAAACCAATAAAACGTTGGTAGCAAGATTGGAAAAAATCGACGCTGTTCCAAGAAACCAGAATCCTAATGGTAGCAAAAATTGAATCTTGTTCCAGCAAATCGAACACTAGTGGTAGCAAAAATGAAAAATCGAGCGCTGGTTCCAGAAAAATCAAGAAGCCGGTGGTAGCAAAAATTGACACTGGTTGCAGCAAACCACAAAACGGTTGTAACAAAAACAACTTATGGTCCAGCTAGAGGCTTCTCTGGTAGTAGCAAAAAATGCAAAAGGTTGTAGCAAAAAGTGTACAAGGTTGTAGCAAAACACATAGTTACAGGGTCTCGACAACCTCATGAAAAAGGATGTAACAAACGGCAGTGCCGATAGTAGCAAAAAACCAAAACTGTTGTAACAAAAAAGTGGTACAAAATGATTCCAGCAAAAAGACATGGCAGCAAAATTTGGTTAGTTCCAGAAAAAAACGAAGACGATGGTAACAAATTAGTACACCGTTTCCAGCAAAAACAAATATGGAAGCAAAATTTGGAGTTGTAACATGCCTCGAGCTCGT